TTTTGTTTTTTTTTGGGGGGGGGGGGGGGGTTTGTACATGGGGTGGAGGGAAATGATTTTTGGCTGAGATCACGCTTAAAGCTGCAGCCTGCTCTCACCTGAGGGTCTCAGTCCCACCTGGCTCCGCTTGCAGCTGTTCAGTAGAAGAAAATCTCTCTGTGCCAGTCCCTTTTTCTGCCTGGGGCGACTGTTCTAAGGAGTCCCGATGTTTTTCTGTGTGGGCTGTTGTGTAAAGCTAAGATTAGAGGAGGAGCTGGGGGTGGGGAGCTTGAAGGGACGGAGGAGGGGTCCAGCTGAGTTGCCAACTTCTGTGAGCTGACTGTGCACAGCCCTGACCTCCTCTGCGCTGCGCTGTGCTGGCTGGGGCAAACCTGCCCATTCCCACAGGCTGACGTTTAACCCCACCCAGTCCAAAGACAAACGTGGTGCCTGCAAGGGAAAATATTCACAAGGCCTGGAGCTGAGGAGGGTGAGCAAGTGTTACAGCTGCATGCACAGACCGTTGGACCCAGCCTCTCCTATTTTCCAGTTCTGCTCTCCACAGCCCAGTACCTCTGAGCAGGGCCAGGGAGGGGCCGGGCAGCCAGCCGAGGAGATTCCTGGACCAGCCCTTGACAGCTCCAACTCCTGCTCTTTTCCTCTGCTCCAGGGAGGCTAAATGTAGTTACTCTGCCTTTACTGCCCTGTGTGAAAAATCAGAATCCGTCCCATTGTGCCTCTGTGAAGCCAGCACTGTTTGTCTGAAGCATGATCCTTCATGTCTAGATGTTGCAATAGGTCAGAGGAGTGAACGGGGCAGAGCAGGGAAGCCTTCTGCTCCTCTGGCTTGCCTGTTCATAGGGGCTCTTGTCTGCTGTTCCCAGCTTATGGCTCTTTGGGAAATCATCTGAAACATTATGCTAGTCTTGGCCTGGTTCTTGGCAGGCAAGCATCAGTCTCATTGCAGCCCCTTGCAGTTGGCAGTTCGATCATCAGTCAACAACGAGGGCTCAGTGAACAGAACAGAATTGCAGCACTGTGAGGCTCTTAGGCACTTGCCTGTGCTAAGAGAGTATGCGCTCAAGTGGATTTCCCAGTAGAGGGTAAAATAACTTGGCACTGACGTTTGCACAAGAACACACCCTGCCTGTTGTGTCCACTGCCCAGGAAATCAAGCAAGCCTGTTTTGCCAGCCCAGCCCCAACCAGGACCTGTCACAAACACAACTGCAAGTGTAATGGCTCACCTGCAACGATTAGTAAAGACAGTCAAGGTCAAGGTTGTGGTTACACCCACTTGTATCCACTGATATGGAGGCAGGCTCTGAATTGGGCCCTAAAACCTGGCAGGCTTTCAGACTTCAGGTCCCTGCTGTACTTGGTATGTGCACACAGGTAAACTGAAAGCATTGGGTGTCATCCTCCCAGGTGTCTGGAGGACCCTCCCACAGCCTCATGTTATCACTGAGAGACCCACTTGCAACTTCTACCATTGCAGTCATAGTCAAACCCCCTTACATCCTCCCCCCCCCCATGCTTATTTTTAAAAGCGGCTCATTTTAGATCAAATCAATCAAGTCAATGAGGAGCAAGTTTGAGACAGGCTGAAAAGTTGTTTTTGCAGGACTCCAAGCTCTGTGGTGGGCTGGAGGATGCTGAACTGGACAAGAGCCAGGCAACAACCGTATAAGAGCCTCCTGCAGAGGTTTATTATATAAAGCAGGTGAGGGAGGATGGATTACAGATTACTGAAGCCTGGATGATCTGGCCCAGTGATGTCTGGCAGGGGTTGAGAATCACACTATGGTGGGATGTGTTCAGAGGAGACTTGGATCTGATTGTCAGATTCCAGCAGTCTGCAGGAGCTCCTTGGTGGGGTCAAGGAAGCACTGTGATCCCACAGCGGTGCCTGCATCTTGCAGGGGAGGGGAGGCTTGTCAGTGTTCACCAAAGCAGGCGTGAACCCCCTCACCATTCCTCTGCAAGGCTGGGATTCCATAGAGGGAAAATCTGAGAGGGTGAATGATTAGCAGCAAGTTAAGCCGTAACCCCAATCCCCAATTCCAGCTCTGCATCAGCCATGGGATCCAGCAGCAGGGGATTGGGCTGAGTGACAAAACGCACTTCATGTCCAGTTCAGACATTTAATGTATCAGTAAAAAAAGAAAAATTAAAAACAGCCCCCACACACCAAGAACAAGGCAGCAGGAAAGAGCCTGAGGTGGCAGCACCGCCTTGTCTGGATGTGGTGGCACGGACCACCTCTCAGGTGCTTATGGGGCCTATTTCACAGGGCTCTTTCTGCTAGACTTGGAATTGAGAAGGGACGACATTGCCATGTCAATGTTGTGCAGAGACGGGACCTTCACTCCTTTCTGCTTCAGCATGTGGTGGAACTCCAGCCGCTCTGTGATGATCCTCTGGGAATTGGGTACATGTACAAGGGAGCACCATGTTAGATGAAAGGATCAATCAGCTTCTCCTATCCCCCTCCATCCCCAGTGCTCAGAGGAAGGGTCCCAGCAGAAGCCTTCCTTCTCTGCCCCAAGCTGTATACCTGTAGGACTTCTAGCACCTCATCATCCCCAATCTCAGCCTGAGGGGATTTGCTGCCAGCTGTGCTGTGTGTAGCCTGAATGATTTTGCTTCGAAACCTTTCAAACTTGGGATGAAAAAAAAACAGAATGAGTAGCTGTTTCAGTGGAGGCTGAAGAGCAAAGCTGAGGGCTCCTCAAATTCATGCTCAATGACAACTCACTGGCTGGTAACAGCCTTTCAACTCTGCCATAGGGAGGCTTTGTACAAGGACTGGAATTTCTGATCCCCTGACCCCCATTGCTGCACCCAGGACACCAGGGAAGGGAGGACCCCGTTTGTTCCTGTAAAATCTCTCCTCTGAGCAAAGAGGACAGATGCAAGGGGCTTCACAGGGAGCCAGACACAGGCCTGGACTGGCAACAGGTACTTCTGGGCTAGTATTGTATAGAGTCCTGATGGCTAATTGGCTCTGGCCCTTGGTGAGTCTGAGCAGAAACCACTGGACATATGTATGGACCCACTGGGCTTCCTGAGAGCACTTGTTGGAGCAGTGCAATGCCCTGTGTGACTTGGAGACAGTGGGGGAGGACTCCTGCAGGCCCCAGAACTAAAATCAAGGGCCATGTGACTGCAGGGACCAGGCTGCCCTGAGAATGCAGTGCAGGGAATGGGCTGTGACCTGCCAGCCCCTCAGGGAAAGCAGGTTTACTCTGTTGCCAAAGGACAACAGGACCAAGGAGCAGCCTCAGGTGCCTGCTGTGGTGCCTGTGCCTGAGGAGGGCCCTGACTAATCAGAGTGCCTCCTGCAGGGAGGGAGAGTCTGCAGTGCAGTGTGGAGACACCCTTTACCCTGGCATGCATGCACTCCAGTGCCACCCGGGTCTGCTGCTCTGCACGCTGCAGGGCCTCCACATGGCTCTGGGCTTCTTGCCGCTCGCCCTGCTGCTGCTGTAAATGATGCTGACTCACAGCAAGCTCAGCCTGGAGCCTGCTGACCGTGCCCTGCAGCTCCTCCAGCAGCCTGGTGTTCTTGGCCAGACGGGATTCCTGCTCCTCCACGTCCTGAGGGGACATAATTCAGACCGGCACAGGGTGAGAATGGTGCAGTGGAGATCGAGTCTGCCCCGGAGAGCCTCTGTGCTGCTCGCCACACCTGCCTTGCCTTTCCCAGGGGGCTTGGGCATGGAATAATGAGACTTGGTGGGGCCCAGGAATGCAACTGCTTTAGCCTGCTCTCCCCCCTCATTCCCTTTTATTTGCTATTCCAACTCAGAGCATTAACCAGGCTGGCATCCCTTCCACTGGTGGCTCTTACAAAAACTAAGTTGACATGGGAATCAATGTCCAGTTCATAATGCCTTAGGAGGAGCCCCAACCCCCAAAATTTGGAAGGGTGTGAATGGGCTGAGTCTTGAGAGAGGGATGCAGAGCAAAAGACATGGGACACCAGTGCAGGAATCCAGAGAGAGCACTGGCCCAGGGCAAAGGTCTGTAGAGTTAGAGTTTCAGCACTAAAGGACTGAAAGGGACACAAGGGTCTCTTCAAATGGTACTGTTTGTTTGATTTGCACAGGCCCAGGCTGGAGATGAGCACAGCAGGGAATGCCAGGGTTGCCTGCTATATCCAAAGTCAGGGTCACCTGTCGAAGTTTGTAGTTCTCTCTTTCTATTGTTCCCATCAGTTCCTCATGCTTTCGTTCCTCTCGCAAGCTAGAAAACTGAGAGAAAAGGCTCCTGCTAGTATGTCAAGTCACAGAAAGCCCAATTTCCTGATTCCTTGGGAAACAAACTTTCCTAGGTGACAGTACCTTGACAGACATGGCTTGGAGCTGGGCTCCTCGCTCTCTAAGTTCCTTCTGTAGCATTGCCTTCTCGGACTCCACTTTGCACAGCTGGGATTGCTGGAAATCCAGCTGTCTTTGCAAGGAAGAGACAGCACCTATAATGTCAGAGTACAGTTTTGAGCCAGCCGAGCCCTCAGGCAGGTGAGAAGAGAGGCTGGTGAGGACAGAGAGGTTGATTCCATAAGCAAGAACTTAGTTGGCTGGGGACATAATCTAAATGTAATTTAGTGGCAGGAGGGTTAATGCTTCAACTGAGTGTCACCAGTTATGCTTTGCATAGCAGAACTGCAATGCCTCTTCCTTAATAACAGCCCAGCTGACTCAAAAGGACTTGTCAATGGTCTGTTTTCAGCCTGGTGGCCCAGACTGAGCCCATCACAAGATTGCAGATGAGGTGCTGCTCCTGTTTTTGCATGACCTGCTCTCAGTGAGCACCCAGTCTTTGGCAGAGGTTTTCATGTAGGGTCTGCCATGGCCTAGCAATGGGTATCTTCACCCAGCAAGCTACAGGAGACAAGGATTTCAAGAGCTGCTGCTGTTATGAAGTGCCCTTTAAAGGTGTCTGGGAGATAGAAGCTGAAGCCTTTCAGTGCAGATCTAACTTTGATATGGAAGGTCTCATGCTCTAGTACCTGTGGCCATGTCGTAGGCAGTTTTCACTTTCTCCAGCTCCTCACAGAGCTCCTGATTCACTCTCTGCAATTCTTGGAGCTTAGTCAGGGCTTCCTGCTCCTCTGCTGCAGCCTCATCCTGAGCCTCCACCTCTTCCTCCAATTTCACCTCCTCTTCCAGAGCTTCTTCCCCCTCCATCTCACCTGGAATCTCTTCCTCACTGGCTTCCTGTCTCAAACCATTTTGCTGCATTTCTGAATACTGCAAAG